GTGGCCTCTTCTTTTCTTTTCAATTCTATGCTTTTATTTCGTTCTCTGCGTGGGTTTATGTGAGATTCAGTCATTCATATGTGCTTCAATTTATTCCGGGTGTGAATTATGATTGTTTGCATAATGGAATCGAGAAATTATGAAATTTCCCATTAATCATTATCATGGAATTTGAATGAGGTAATATATTTGTACTATAGTGCAGCTTTCATTCAGGATTGATTCAAAACTTTATTTATTTTAGAAGAACCTTGTTGATTTATATTCAATGGAGGGCAGAAATTTGTTTGTGGAGCTAAATTGCAAGTTATGGAACTAAAATTAAAATTCAGTGGAGAATGAATTGAGAAACTTAGTTCTTTTCCTGATTGAGACTGCAACTGCATCTTAATTCTTAAATGTCAAGGTGAAGTTGATGGCTGATTGAACTTCATTCATTCCAGATCAAATTCAAATCTAAAAATTGTCATCTACCACTGATGCATTGTTCCTTTAAGCAATGTTTGCTGATTACACTACTTCATAAATTGCAACAGGGTTCGGATTTGTGACAATGAGTACAGGGGAAGAAACTGAGAAGGTTGTGGAGATGTTCAATAGTTATGTAAGTTGTTCTATTTTCACACATGCCCTTTAGCTTGTTCACCCTTTTCTCAATTCCTATTATAAGTAGTTTTAGTGAAATAGGATTACAGATTAAAACAAGTTCTTGTGATACTTTGCAAGATTGTTTGCATTTTTATCACTTTAATTATAGTTACCATGTTTTACAAGTGTGTTCACCTCTTGGTTTTTATGGGGCTTTGGAACATGAAGAAATTGCTTAGCACCGGTGATGGTTACTATGAGAAATTTTGTGATTTCCTATTGTGCAATATTTCCACATATTTAATCCCCCATGTGAGAAAAATAGCTGAAATTGCATAATTTCGTTATGTCTTCACGTAACAACGATTTTGGATGTCCACGGTGTGGTGTGTTACATGCTGTTTAACTTTTGTTATATAATCATCATAATTTGTGGGGGCACAAATGCTTTATCAGTTTGATTGATAGATAATTTTTCATTGTGTTATATAACTTCTATATTTTTTATGTCAATTTCAGGGCTTGAAAAACTTCACTACGAGTGCAAGGGAACTCATCATGCAGCTCCAGAAGATAGATGGAAATAATTATCCGGAAGTAAATTATAGATTTTTTTAACTTAATAAGTTCTATCAGTTTTTTAGAAATCTTGGGAACTAATATATTGTGCCTTTTAAGTGCTGCAGACACTTCATCAAATGTTTATCATCAATGCTGGTCTAGGCTTTAGGCTATTGTGGAATACTGTAAAAGGTTTTCTAGATCCCAAGAACACCACTAAGATTCCTGTATGTCAATAATTCCTCTTTTGTTATTTGGAAGCAGAACTCTTTTTGCTTGAACGACTGACTAACTTATATTTCTCTCATTTTTTGGAATATCTCACAGGTTCTTGGAAATAAATACCAGAACAAGTTGCTTGAAGTAATCGATTCCAGGTGAAAGGGGTGGATCTCATTATGAGCAAAATTGCGGAAGCATCGTTGATCTTTTTTTTTTATTGTTTCCGAAGTTAAATTTTTTGAATTGTGCAGTGAGTTGCCAGAGTTTTGGTGGAATGTGTACCTGTGGAGATCAAGGAGGATGCCTTCGTTCTGATAAAGGACGAATCCAGAGATTTTAAAGGTCCTAATTAAGCGCCTATTTGACGCACATTCTTTCGAAATACATTCTTTCAAAACTCATTTTCAACCACACATTTTTCAACCAAATAATATTTTTCTATCACATCAATAACTTTTTCTTATTTTTTAACCACATATTTCCCATCATATCACTATTTAAGATAAATTATTTCCTCAATAATATCCATCAAACACTCCCTATTGAATAAATATAAAATGAAAAATATAGTATAATTTTCATTATTACAGTTTTCTTTCACATTGAAAAGAATTGATTTCATTACATTGTGTCGCGGATGTTGCTTAATGGTGAAGCACGACGTGCCAGGCTGGTTTTTAAAGTTCTTAACAGTGAAGGGGGGATCATTTATAATAATCTTTACTATTCGATGGTGCAGTCTCTGTGGCTTTTTATATGAGATTGGGCGCAGAAACTCCTCAACATGTTAGATTTAAGTGAAATCTTATGGTTTTTTGGTTGTTGAAGCAAGTAAAAAGCAGTGATACATCTACTGCCAAGTCTGGTTCTGAAGCTGAAGATATTGCTTCACCAAAAGCCATTATGAAATATTCACATCTTCGGTTGGCTCTAGCTCGTGAGGAGGTATGGCTAAGCCTGTGAACTTCATGTTTAGTTATTTTATGCTTGGTAGTAGGTTTTGCAAATTTTGAACTTTGTGATTCTTTTCTTTCGAAGTTCCAAGAGAGGTTTGGTTGGCATCAATGTAAACGGAAGTATATTCCAAGTGGATAAAATTTGTTGATTGTTTTATGTGAATAATCTGAAAAGGAATGAACTCTGTCCCATGTGTCCTCAATATAAGATTTCTGGAGAAATTTAAGGTTGTATATAATCTTGCAAAAACTCCATATGGATTGATTAATTACATATTTAATTATTAATACTCATCAGTTCCCCACAATTATGGATTGATAATTTTCTCTCGATAATTTTGTGTATTATTTGACTCATTTCTCAAGCTAGGGCTATAGAAACACCTTGCTTTGTTGGGAACTTGTTAGGGTATGATGAGTATGTTCCCATGGTTGACAAGGTGGTTGATTCTGGATGGAAGAAGCAACCATCCCTTCCGAAGCCTTTTATTTCTATAGGTTAGTTATGTATATTTCTATTAATAATTGTCTCCACGCATTGGGTTATAAACTTGGAAATTGGAATACTACAAAGACCATGCTTGAAATATTGACATTATTACTAACTTTAAATGTGTAATTTGAACTTTTAAATACAGAGGTATTTCGGCCACCTGATTCTCAAAAGGCCTCAGAAGGAATTCAAGATCGCATGTTGGCAGCTCTTATGGCCTTCTTCACGACCCTTTTTGTGTTGTTCNCTTCACGACCCTTTTTGTGTTGTTCTGTACACTATCATGCAGTCTCACCAAGAAATTGTCTGATGCGTCATCACAACACTAGCAAAGCATTCAAGAATTTTCCTTTGATCCGATTATAAAGGAGGAGTTTCGACTGCCTTCACCAACTCCACAGTTTACATTACAGAAATTGAACTTTTATTTTTTGTCTTGAAGAGGTTGGGTGAGCTTTAAGAGAAGGTGAATACTCTTCAAGAAAAGCCATCAGAGATGGCTCACGGGAAAAAAACTGCTCAATGCTACCATTTGTCGAGTTGATGCCCTAGAAGCGGAGTTGATTGCCACCAAAAAGGTATATCCTGTATTTTGCCCAAATTTAAAAATAGCTTTTACTTATTTTAAGCTTAGCCAAACATGAAAAAGACTTTCATTAGATGACACGAGAACGATTATGGCTAATCATCATACAATAGCTCTGACGCTTGTCTATATTTCTGGGAGCATTTCGTAAGGTTATCCCTCAAATTCGTAAGATTAAAGGAAAAATACCAAACTCTTAACAAATTACCTTATATTAACACATTGCTTTTAGTATTTATTACCAAGGATGAACTAATATTATGCACTCTTAACAAATTTTGCATCGATATGTCAATTTCATCTGATCAATCCATTCCAATAGCCTTCTCAAATATGCATTAAGATAAGAGCCAACTGTCAGATGCGATACTAGAAAAATGGCCTGGGGACTTCTCATTTCTAGCTTTAGAAGTTTTTATTATTATCCGTTGCAAGTAAATGAAACGCTGGTTTAGTATGCATCTAATGGAATTTTTACTTTTGCAGTTGAAGAAAATGTGTAAAGAAGGTGCATATTGGGTTGAGTTCCATCTGCATTCATAATAATATGGGAGATTTTTTATTGTACATCGTATAACTTTCTAATAATTGTGTGATTTTTCATAATTTAACTTACAGGAACAGTTGCTGGAGTTTATGTGAGAATGGCTGTCGCCTGTCTACCACTCACTTTTTATATTGTCGGAACCCTAGCAATCCTCTTGCCTTTTCCAACCGCACGCGAAATCCCATATATCGGTTTTTAACTTATCGGAACCGACCTAATTCCTCTGCCTTCTCCAACTCTCAATATTTGAGAAATCCCACAAAAGACTAAGATCAGTGCATGGAGCTTATTATTTTTCTAGATTTTCCTCCATTTAGCTTCAAAATATACCACACCTATTCCTCTATTTCTTGCTCGGAAAACCTATCACCTTCTCCATGTCAATTCCCTAAATGGGTGCAAGAATTTTACATCCTTGCCCGACAACCCATGAGATTCCATAGGTATTAAATTCAACCCAACAGCCGTTTTTCATCTTCGTTTGATAACAAAATCTAGCGACCCAGTTGATTTCGTCTAAGGTATTTTTTTTTTTTCTCCGTGTATACAAAAACTGTTTTATATTTTCTCTTCCCCTGGATGTTCTGGGTTCTCTTTCATTTTGCTTCATAATGTTTATTTAATTGAGGTCCTTGAAGATTTTAAATCCCGGTAATTTCTACTATAAAATTGGTTCTTAAATATATTAACCACATATTGGGTTAAGGTTAATTTTGCCAAGTGAAGGGAAGATCCGCCTCAAGCACGCCCTTTTTCCCTAAAGCTCTAGACAATTTTCGTTATCTTCCACTGTGTTTTTACAGTAAATATCAGGCAAGTTTTGTTGTAAATTTGTCGTCTTCATTTTTTTAATTTTATATTTTGAGCTGCTCAATCTTATCATTGTTGTCATGCTTGTATTAACGGTGATTTGATTTTTTTTTATTTCAAAAAAATATTGAAATCTTAGAAATTGTGAAGGGATGTCTTGAATAAGAAATTACTTGTTCAAGATTTGGGTTATTCGTTTACTTGTTCAAGATTTGGGTTATTCGTTTCTTGGATGCACAATTTATTATCATTGCTTAAAACAACAATTTTGGTTTTCAATTCTGTGATCTTACCAGTTCCGAACAAAAGGAAGGATTTTTTTTCTGTTTGCTTTGAGAATCATTGTAAAAGGAACTGCTTATGGAGCCTCGAGTCCAGTGAGGGTGTTGTACGCAGGAACACCCATTTTTTATGTCAAACATAGCAAACCTTCCTTCTTAGATCAGTGGCTCAATGTTGTTGAACTTCTGTTTTTGGAATTGCAGGCGTGTCACTTTCATATGTGGGGAAGAAGGTGTATGCGCACTTGGTGCTGTAGTTGCAAAGCATGCTATTGATGAACAATTGTGTGACCAATATTTAACCCAATTCAAAGAGGTATTTAGTGATGCAACAACACCTATTTGCTTCCATTCCCCCATCACCACTGTTGCTCTTTCACCGAGCATAAATTCATTTTTGTTTGAATAAGCATGCTGATTTGCTATTTTTCAAATTTAAATGAAGATCAAGCTTCTGAAGAATCTTCCAAATGAACTGTTGTACGGGAGAGCGGGGTTCTTGTGGGCATATTCTTTCTTAAACAACAATTTGAATCTATCTATTCCAGAATCGTCGTTTAAGATCCAAAAATTTCCTGCAGATGCTTGCTAGCATCTCGGTCCAAGAAGTCTATGGTCTCTTTTGTGTGTGTGTGTGTGTGTGTGTGTGTGTGTTTCAACATTCATTTGAACCTTTTGTATGATATTGAATTCGTTTTGGTTTATTCATGTCTAATTTATGTAGGAAACTTATATTTCAAATACAAGTAGGAAAATGACATCAGTATCTAAGAGATATAAATGACGAAGAGGTGTGCATTGATAGTACTAAATTGGATATCAATGTTTTATTTCGAATATCTAATGCACGAAGCATTTTTAATCTTTGATATCGGCATTATTTATTTTAGCACTTGAAGGGCACAATTCTTTGCTCAAAACAAATTCAATAAATTTTACGACATCAGACAACATTGCATCAAGAATTTTGCAGATACAAGCTGGGAAGATAAATGTAAGAGCATGACAATGACGCCTTTTAATCTGCAATTCACTTGCTGATTGCATAGTTGTTCTATTATCGAAATGACAGTTTGCTTCCTTGGCAATATCTGAGCTTTTGGTATTTCTTTTTCTTTTTTTACTCTCCCCATTTCTGCACTCAACAACCTATGCTCATTTCCTCTATTCTCAACACATCCATCCATTCTCCTCCCTTCTCCTCATTTCTTCTCTCTTCTATTTCTTTTTCCCACAATTTTGTCTATATGCCGTGTAATTTTACCAAAGTTCTTCGGTGCGGTGTTGACCATCCTAAAAGTTTTAACCCTTTATTTTTGTTTTCTTTTGCAGAGTTTTGAAGTTTTTATCATAGATCAATCGAAAGCACTATCGAAACAAGGTTTTTTGGTAAGTAAA